CCGTGTAGTTCCAGGAAATGAGTTTGCTGTATCTGCGACAGCCATCGTGTTCACACAGCCTCAGAGCCGCAGAGCTCGGCGTGGGGTTTTTTCCACCGCCGGCGTTAGCCGGGTGGGCCTGACGTTGCGCTCGCCGGCAGCCGTCCTGCGCCGACGGCTCCAGCCTGGCTCACCTCTCCCCGCCAGATCCGGGAGCAGCACTGAGGAGCAAGCCTCTGCCTCGCCCCCACCGAAATGGCGGGGCTCTGGAGAGAGCGTCGCTCTGAAATTCTCTTTTGAGGTGAAGGATGCCTTTAGGATCATTTTGTCTAAATATGGCAATCCAAGGGGGTTTGAGCCACAAAGTATAAAAACCACTTTTCCCTATGGTTTGGATCGCTGCCGTGAGTAACGCCGATTTCTTAGTTTTAAAAAAAAAAAAAAAAAAAAAAAAAAGGAAAAAGTGAGGGTGGGGAAAGTAATGGTAAATATTCATCACCTGGTAACCCAAAAGAATTTTCATTTTCTTCATCCATATCTGCATACCAATTTAGTCTGAATTCAAGGCATGAGCAGGCTGCACCGGGAGGCTGAGTTACTGTACAGTACATTCTTTTTAGCAATTTAAAAGAATGCCAAAGCAAACACAGTTTAAAAAAAAAAAAGAACCCTAAAAAGTAAATGCTGTAGCTTGTTGCCCTCCATATGGTTAGCTGTCGCAGAGGTCATAAAATGGGGGTCCTTTGGTGGGACAGCTGGGTTTATGTAGCATATACGCAGATTGCTGTTTTGGCTTTAAGCCAGATCTACCTAATTTTTCCATTTTGCCTCTATGATGAGGAGAGGTGGTTAAGGTGACTGACTTCAAGGGGCAGTTCTGTGATTTCATTCATATTTGTATTAAAGAGCCTTTTTTAAGGGTATTTAAGATTAGAAACCAGTCTAAATAAAATTCAAGGCGGGGGGGGGGAAGCGAAGTTCATTTGTTTTATCAAAAGGCTGAGGCTGCAGCCGGGCACAGCCCCAGCTCACGCCGCCTGACAGCCAGCACCTCACTGCTATTTGTGCACCGCAGTTACTGATGGTTGTCCTGCCAGGAGAAGCAACAGAAGCCAGAAAACCTGCATTGCTCCTGTCGCCTTCCAGGGCGCGGGTGTTCCTATCTGTACATATGTATACATCTGTAGGCATGGGTGTGTGTGTGGAGCAAAGAAGAATTGCACACGTCCAGGAATCCTCCGTGCCATGACTGCTGCAGATTCAGAGGAGGAGCGTATTTTGCTGCTTTCCGGCTGCCCGCCGCGAGGGTGGCATTGCAGCACCTGGCTGCTTTGGCAGCTCGGGTGCCGGCGGGCTGCTCCCTGCCCGGCACACCACCGGTACATTCCCCTTTGGCTGGTCCTGCCCCACACTGACCTGACCACCCCTCCAAGAAGAGAGTCAAGCGCTCTTTTCACCTTGTCATCCTTGGCAGCGGTCCTGGGCCAAGCACAAGTGCCTCTCTCTGCTGGGAGGAGCAGCCACCCGAGGGAGCTGGAGCTGTAAGAAGTGGCTTTTCCCGCTTAGAGTCCTGGAGGGACCGTATAAGTAAAGAGCTTTTTCCAGCGAGGTAAATGGAGTTTTCTGTAACAGAAATAACCTATGTAAAATAAAAATGAAGTTGGCAAGCAGTATAAAGGCTTAAGCTTAATAAATGCAATATTTAGTAGTGTATATTTGCCGCTGAGTTTGTAAAGAAAACCAGACTGCAAAGCTGGCGGGAGCTACCAGCTAAGCAGCAGAAAGAGGAATGTCTCGAAGCACTCAATAATCATAAGGCAGCAGTTGCCTTCTCACCCACGGACAGACAGACAGAGTACAGTGTCCTTCTGGAGCGTATTCATCCGAGGCCCATCAATGGCAGCTTGAACAACTGCCTGAGAATTTAAAAAGACGAGGCATTTGTTAGCCTATTCCGGTCCATGGGTAGAAGAGAATAGGCTCTTGGGGAACCCAAATATTTTCACCAAAAACATCTGACCCCATTCACTAGCTACAGGTAGTGCTTTCTATGCTAATGTCTATTTTAAAGGCAAGCATTTAATGGTCCTTCCTCTACACTTTTTCTTAGCTAGACAGCAGGTTAAAGATCACTGCCTTATTTTTATTTCAGTTTTTGTATATTTTAATCATGTTACGCCTATCTAAATAAAACGATACAAATTGATAAACTGTCAACAGTAAGTATAGAGCATCTATCGCCATACATCGCTGCAATTAAAGAACAAAGAACTCTGTGTACTAAGTTGTCTAATTACTTAGATATATGACTAGAGACAGAGATTTCAGTGTAAAGAACCATGAAGTTTGGTGTAAAAGCTCCGTTTAATCGCAGAGCCACATGTTTTCATTGTTACCAACTAATGAAAACCGTTCTTCCTTTAGAGAAGGAATTACAAGTACAAACACAAAATAGAATTCGTGCTTTACATAATTTTTTTGTTATTTAGAACAGCATTACATTTGGTGAGCTAGTCAACCCAGTGTCTCTTTTTTTCATATTCTTCCTACATGTCAAATTACTCTGCTGTAATTGGTAAGCAAAACTGAGAGGCAGAATACCTCTTTCAGATAACTTTTTTCTTCTACACCAGATGTGTATGACATGCAATGAAGTCAAATGAATATGTGAACGTCCAGCCCAGCAGCACTTGCTGTCTCGTGCAGTACTGAAATGAACGGCTTCCAGTTGTTTTTCTTTAATTCCTTTACTCTGAAGTAGGAAAATGTGTGTCCACTGTCTGAAAATTAGAACATGTTTATAGGTGTGGGTACCCTAAGCTATATGAACATTAATCATTTAAAATGTAAAGAAAGCAGTTCATGTTCACGTAGCTGTTCTCTACCCTTCTGTTCTACTTTTCAAGATTTAAATTCTTGTATAAGGCGCATTTTTTTGTCTAAAAATCATTGCTGTTGTGTTTGCTAGCTGGACTTACACATCTTTTATTACCTCTTGAAATAAATGGGTTTGCCTTTAGTTAAAATTCCTCTCTTCCCTAAAAGGTTATTCTTGATTATTTCTCTTGGATGAACGTACTGCTGGTGGAATCCCAAGAACAACTCTCTTTTCCTACTAGGAACCATCGACCCATCCCTTAGCCTTACATGTAAGCGATGGTGAAAATGTGTTTCTCTGGAGAGCTGCTAAGCATGTGTTTAGCTTTGCGGGCAGGTGCTTCAGAAGACCTCAGTTTGGGCTGCTCACCTGAGCAAAACTCTGCCCATGATAAAATCCTGGTTTGATTCAGGGACTCCCTCTGGAAGTGAGGGTGGTCACTGCTGCTGGGACCTGGCTGGAAACGGGAAACGTTCTTTGTCGTCTGCTTCCTCCTTGTAAGTTTTTTCTTTGCCATGCTTCGTGGCCCGACCCTCTTGAATTCCTCCAGCTTGCAGAACTGCTGTTGGAATACGAATTAGATTTCCATATAGAAATCCAGCTCTTCTTCGTTGCAACAGTTTCTCTATGTAGTCGTGTAGAAGATGGGGATTTCTGTTAGGCATTTGAGGCAACACAAATAGAGGATGTAAATACTAAGGAAAGAATGAGTAGCAGAAGCCAAGGCATTATCCTGGAACAAGAAAAAACAGTTCTCATGAGGACCTTGCTGTTGTAGCAAAGAGCAAGGAAGTGAAGTAAGGACTGACAAGACTAAAATTAATCTATTGGATTTAGAGTCATGGAAAACAGCCTTAAGATGTCCCCTAGTCAAGTGCCTTCCCTCAGGAGACAATCAATTAATCTCCTCTTAAAATCCTCCAGAGGTACAGCTTTTGGAACTTGTATGCTCTACTGCACTGCCTAGCTATTCTTGCCACAAAAAAGGTTTTTTTGCTAATGTCTAACTGGCATCTCCTTGCTTCCATGCAAGCCCTTTCACTTTGCCGTGTCTGGACCCAGGTGTATTCTGAGGCTATTACTGTCATCTGCATGGACATCACGTTCTCTCACAGGAGACTGACTGGATTGGAGCACTGAGGTTTCAGAAAACCTAATTATAGAAGCTAGTACTTCATCAGTGTAACATTCATCTCCACTTCTCCTAATGAAAGTTGCAGTTGTTAGGGGGGATAGAGTGATGCTACAGGTCAGTACTTCCAGCTTTTTCTGTTCTCTTCTTCACAGTTGACTTTCAGTTACGTTTCTGTCTTGGAGGAGGAGAAGATACTTGGGATGCTCTGGCAGCCTGGTGCCATCTGGTAGAAAAGAGCACCTTGTCCAAATACATTAATCGCCAGCGGCAGAATAATCTATTGAGAGAGGAGGCAAAGAGACAGCTCAATATTTTGTTAGTAACTCTAATTCTTTATCAACAGTAAAGGTGCTTTATTTCAGTTTACCAAAGCAAAAGTTGTCAGGTGAAGAGAAGCACACTGAAATCCCAGGGCACAACAGGAAGATGAGTCTGGTTTAATTAATAGGTGTTAATAGGATGAGGTCATCGGGCACATTCAGTCTTGAGGTGTCATGTGGTGATGCCAATGGTGCTTCGGTGCTCGCCTTGAGATGGATTCAGACTGATACACATCTGGTTAGATTTAAACAATAACGAAGCACAACTGAGAGATGACGTAGTACGTCACATGGGAAATAATTGATCCGCTCAGCTGAGCTGGATATATACTTCACATGCATCAGGCAAAATTTCCAAAGCTAGGCAAGGTTATGGATGTCTTCACATGTAGTTTATGCTCATAACTGGTGTGACCTAATTTGCGTTTGCAGATAACCATTGCCAATTAAGATCCTTGGTGATTATATGCAATGCCAAATGCCATGTATGAACTAGCCATATTTAAACATGCAAGTCTGACTTCACACAACTCTTGCTAAAAGTAAATCCATTATTAAGGTGATAGATTGAGCTCGTTTGAATCAATAATGCAGTAGGGCCATGCCTTAACCTTTTTAAAAAAAAAGTTCAGGTCTGGTCTAATTAATCAGCACCCACCATCTTGCTTGTTTGTTTGTTTTTTTACAGAACATAGGAAACTTGGCAATCTGACTGTGACAGTGAAAAAGACCGTCCCCTCTCCAGAAGCAATACAGATCCTCTACCAGCGCATGAGATATGAATATGAGTTTTATTATTACGTCAAAGAACAGTTCCACCTGCTAAAGCGCAAGTTTGGACTGAAGTCTCACATCAGGAAACCACGCCCCAGACCCGAGTTCTTCATTCCTTCTCCCCTGGAAACAGAGGAACCGATGGACGATGAGGAAGATGATGAAAAGTGGCTAGAGGATATCTATAAAAGGTGATGGATGGAAGAACTATCCTTTCTCTTCCGGTGATCCCTCCAGCTTTCTTAAGATTTTTTTTTTAATTATTATTAAAAGTAATTCCTTAAGGAACTGAGTTAACGCGCAGCAGCATTTGAAACGGAACAAAAGAGACCATTCCCACATGCTGGGGCCATCGGGAGATACCTGGTTTTGCGGGTTTGATTCATTGTATGGTGTTGGCTCTATAGCATCCTTGCTATAGCATAGTTCAGGAGAGAAGTATCTACCGTCTGTCACAAAATAACTTTTGGAGTACAGAGCAGCCCTCTGGGCACGTGCAAAACATAAGAGAATAGATTAGGTGGTCTCACAAAGTAAATTTTACAGACTCTTGTCTCTCTTTCTCCAGAAACAAGTCTTCATTGCATAACACTACAGAATTAGCTACCGGCAACGCGGACTACAGGCAGTGCACCATTTGGGAAGAGTGCCTCTTTCTGCCCAGAGCACACTGATGTCCCAGTGGTACAGCCAGAGCACGGGGAGGATGACAGGCTCAGAAAGGGGCTAGATAATGCCTTCTGAATTGCCCTGTGCAGGAGGAGCGAGGCTGCTAGTCTGCCAAATTAGTATCAGTGGACGTAAGGCAAGTTATGGGAACTAGGTGTTTTTGGCAAACCCTTCTAGTTTATAGAGTAGAAGAAGTTACCTGGTCAGTGAACAGCAACAACAGATGAAAAGTGCAAGGCAGGGTTACCTAAATGGTAGAGTTTTGTTTCTGCAATTGACTACTTTTCTATTAGACTATGAAGGAAAAGGTGCAGCATATGTTTTTTTATGTTCAGGAAGGGTATTTGTAGGTTTTTATTCTTCTTAAGGGTTGCAAATCTACAGAGAAAGTCACCCATTAAAAACCGTAGATGATCTGGAACTCCTATTAAGCACGGCCGGTATTTCTGCGATTGGGGGATTTAGTTGTTCCCTTCTGAAGCTGAACGCAGCTGCCCCACCAGTGCAAACACCAGGCGCCTGCTTTTAGCGTGGCTACAAGTAAAACTTAAAATAGTAGGTTTTTATTCTTCTTAAGGGTTGCAAATCTGCAGAGAAAGTCCCCCATTAAAAAACGTAGATGATCTGGAACTCCGATTAAGCACGGCCGGTATTTCTGCGATTGAGGGATTTAGTTGTTCCCTTCTGAAGCTGAATGCAGCTGCCCCACCAGTGCAAACACCGGGCGCCTGCTTTTAGTGTGGCTACAAGTAAAACTTAAAATACACACCTTCTCTAGTTGAACTATTTCAGAATGATAAAACAAAGAATAGAAGGCATTGTACTCTGTGAAACCAAAACTGGTACATCGGTGAATTGTTAAGAGAGTAGCTGTGAAAGTTTGCCCTTGTTAATCACTACAAGTATTGTCAACAAACACTAGAAAGGGGATCAGTGGAGTCTGGGAGGGCTCCAATATGTGACATGCTGTTGTCTTTAAGGTGGGTGTCCCGCAGCTCTTCGACAGCCTGCCAGGACTGGTGGTGCAGAAGTGACAGACCTGCACATTGCAATGGCAGAGCTATTTGGCCATCTGCTCTGTAGGAGGTATTTGGGAGTCTTGATGAGGCCTTGGCCTCATGCACACCATTGTTGCCAGAGGATAGTAGAGGGTAACAGCAATAAATTCCCATCCTCGAGCACAGGAAAGAAGCAGGGTCGAGGAGTTGCAGCTCCTTGCCAGGTTGAGTCCCAGTGATGCATTGAGGGCGACGCACCTCTGTCCAACTCAAGTCCTTTCTCAAACATCTACCGGGCAATTTTTGCTTCCTATACTGCAGCTGCCCCAGCAGCGTGTCTGCCATCTGCAAGGTCATACTTCGGTTTGCAGTAACAACCAAAAGTTATTTTGTGATGGATGAGGCATATAAACTCGGCCTAAGCTCAGATGTGCTTTCCAAGGTTTCCTCTTCCATGAGCCTGCTGAGAGCCAATAAACATGATGGCCCATCTTCATCACCAGTCAGTCTTTACTGTACCTACATGCAGAGAACGAAAATAAAGAAGTGTAATCGTGTTAAGACAAGATGCTAACTTACAGAAAATACTACGTAGAAGATTCTGTTCTCATTATTAACATCCCAGGTTGGTGGTAGCAATGCACTACAGTGGGGGAGCACGTTAAAGAAAACTGAAAATGGCACAGATAACAACTAACATATTAGCTAAAATATGAATCTGCTGCATTGTATATTTTAAGTGGTTTCTATGAAATTACATTGAAAGAGTAATGATTAGTTTACACACTGTGGAGTTGTTATATTTTGGAAAGAAAACTAATATCCTCACCTTTCTGAAATTCTGTTTGAATCCTTTTTGCCAACGTTGTAACAGAATAATCAGTCACTTAACACATTCGCCCTTCCTGCAAGTTCACTGCCGCTTACCGTAAAGTCTATTTTTATCTGTTTATTTAATGGTATCTTCAGCCATCACTACTTAATAACCTAAGTGCAAAACCTGTTTAATGATTTACTCGCTAGGTTTTAATGTTGTATTTTTCGTAACAATCAGCCTGGCCTCTCCTCCTTGAATGGTACTTCATAAAGTTATCTGGCACATAGTGTCTAAGATTCCTGGTCCTACGGCCTATTTGTCTGTCATGAAATATATTTTACTTCATTGTTAAAAGGTACGTTTTAAGCTGGTTGATCTTTGACTTATTTATTGAAACTTTTCAGCACATTCCAAATTCTAAGTTGCTCAGGAAGAAGTTGATTTAAATGATTATATTTTGGTCTGATGAGTATTTCTTACTCCAGAAAAAATCATTGTTTGTAAGCCTTTAGCCCACGACAGCTTTGTAGGAAGTGCCATGCATGTACTTGTAAATCTTTGTGGGGGGAAAAAGGTGGGTGCTTGACATTTATGAAAATGAGAAAACATATGTGTACATTAGCTTAGCTATAAATGAAAGCAACATATGTTTTGGGATGAAATATTCTTTAACTTATTCACTACCATCTCCTGAAATATAAATAAGCCATATGACTCTCTCTTTTTTGGTCCAGTGATGTTTAAAAATAAAACCCATACATTTCTTCCTAGCGCCATAGTCCGCTTGCTTACGCTAGTTTTCTTGCCTGGGTATGGCGGCTGCGGGCAAGATGCTGGAGTTGCTCCCAGCAGAACAGGATCACGCGCGGCGTAGGTTATCATCTAGAAGTCATACTTGAGCAGCGAGATGGGGGTAGGTTGTTTCTGGGTTACTCTGTGTCCCGCACCGTCCGGAGGTGTGAGACTGAAGGCAGAATTATTTTACTCACCCAAGACGTGCAATAAGTACTCTGAAGGACATCGCCTCGTGTGCTTTGGGGCTGCTAAGTAGAAAGAAGTTGTAGCCAGGAGAGAAACAGCTTGGTCCCCATACGCTGCATTTTACCAGACATGGTATTTGATGGCCAGCCATAAAAGCTCCAGTAGTCCAGAGTGATGTTATAATGTAAGTGAAACTTAAGTGCTTTCACGCTAAAGAGAGAATCGACCGTTGTAAAAATGCAGCATTCTGCAAAAAAATAAATTTTATTCTCAAGTTTCAAGTGACAGTGACAAATGGTACGGGTTTTTTGTTCCTGTTTAATTTACTTCTCTTCCACATAAGCTTTGCTGGTGATGCAAGGCTAAGTCCAAGTATCTGAACTGTTCTCTGCTTATATGTAGCAAAGCAGCTCGGCAGAACTGAAGGTATGTGACCCTGATGGTGTATTTCAAGCATTTCAATTTCTTTGTGATTCTTTATCATTGGGCCTTTGATGTATTGTTTGAATGTTATAGAGTGGTATCATAAAGACACAAACAAAATTACAAATTTTAAACATTGGGGAACAGATCTGTGGATGCCAGCCATTGAATTCTTCCTCCTTTCAATACTTGATGTAATAACAACATTTAATATCAAGATAGATTTTTTGACTAACAAAGGAAACCATGCTGCATGCCAACTTGGGTCCTCTAATCGAGTGAAAAAACATTGTCTGCTGAAGAGTAAAGCTCTACATCTTCTTAAAGGATAAAGGTCTGTAATTCCCAGTTAAGGGTAATGGTGCTCTTTCCCTCCATTTTCAGAAAGGGAACATCTGTGACATTAGACCATAGCCTAAAACAACACAGCAACATTTTTGAGAACTAGAATATTGTAATACAATACCACAGCATTCCTTCTGTTTTATTTTTAAGGAATCAGGCTTTATTGCAAAGAGTTCAGCAAGCAAAGAGTACAGCAAACATATAAACCACTGTCAATCAATCTGCTTGCATGAGCCAAGACCAAAGAACTGAGCATTTGTTACGTATAGACCTCTATACACAGACTCCATGGGAAAAACAAGAAAGGTCTTGCCAAGCCTTGGAAGTGCCTGTCTAGTGGTGTTGGAATCACCGGGACCACTTCTGCAGGGTCTGTCCCAAGGGAGAGTTTGCAAACTCAGGCTCTGCTTAGGTGCCCACAGGTGTGGTAGGAAGGCAGCTCCATGACAAACAGCCATTGGGGAAGTGAAAAAATCCCTTGCAAGATGTTAGAAGTGGATGGAAAGGATCTTACTGTGAAGGTTGAAAGTTAAAATCTCAACCAGCGTAAGTCAGTTGCTGATGTCTCGCTTACACCTGAAAAACTCTGATATCTTTTCTTTGGTTTGCCCAGAAGCGGCATGGCATGCCAAGCTGCAGCACGGAGTGAACCTCAAAGCTCAGTTGTAAGCTTCTGAAGATAGGTGTGTGTAAGGGAAGCACCGGCACACCGTAACGGCTGGGTTGCAGCACCAATGCCTGACGCTGTCGTATTGGAAGAGCCTGGAGGTGGGGTGGAAGGTTGCTCTGGGGGCAACGGGACAGGGAAGGGGGGAGGTTTTCTGCAAATACTTATTTGGCCTTTCAGACGCCGTAAGATGGTAAGATTTGACCAGTGGTATATTTGAACGCGAATTTTTGAATATAAACCTGCCGTGGATTTCCTTTTCTGAGTATGTGAAGGAAGAATGCAAGGCTGGTCT